CATAGCATAGCGCGTACGGCATAGCGTAGCATAGCATAGCGCGTACGGCATAACGTAGCATAGCATAGCGCGTACGGCATAGCATAGCGCGTACGGCATAGCGTGGCATAGCATAGCGCGTACGGCATAGCATAGCGCGTACGGCATAGCATAGCGCGTACGGCATAGTGTAGCATAGCATAGCGCGTACGGCATAGCATAGCGCGTACGGCATAGTGTAGCATAGCATAGCGCGTACGGCATAGCATAGCGCGTACGGCAGCGCGTACGGCATAGCATAGCGCGTACGGCATAGCGTAGCATAGCATAGCGCGTACGGCTAAATTTGCGTGCTAGGCTCCGCAAGCTTAATTTTCTTCCGCCGGTGCGTAACACTGCACAGCACGCAGCTGCACGTGCCGACCCGCAGGTGACGGCACAGCAGCGGCTGCATGACACTGCACAGTGTACATGTACACGCTATGACATACACGCCGTACGCGTCGTATGCGCTATGCCGTACGCGCTGTGCTGTGCCGTACGCCCCTTAAGCGCGGTGCAACGCACGCAGCGACGGAGCTACGGCCCACTCGCGCGAACAGCGCGCTCTAGTCCGTCTGTCCCTCCGTCTGTCCACCAAGTCGTCGGTTCAATCCTGAGCGCGCCGCTTTTTTTTTTGCGCGCCGCTTTTTTTTTTGCGCGCCGCTTTTTTTCTTTTTTTCTTCGTATGCTTCATATGCTTCGTATGCTTCATATATGCTTCATATGCACATATGCACATATGCACATAAGCACATATGCACATGACGCGCAATTCGACACGCAATTCAACGTACAATTAGCTGCGGAATTCAACGCGCGCTTTAGCGCATAATTCGATGCGCGCTTCAAAACGCGCTTCCGCGTCGAAATGAATGTCGTACGCGCTTCATACAGCGCGATTCGCACAGCTTTAATTGCGCAATTCGACACGCAATTCAACGTACAATTAGCTGCGGAATTCAATGCGCATAATTCGATGCGCGCTTCATATGAATGCCGTACGCGCTTCATACAGCACGATTCACACAGCTCTAAATGCGCAATTCGATGCACAGTTCAATGTACAATTAGCCGCGGAATTCAACGCGCGCTTTACCGCATTATNTGATGCACGCCTCAAAACGCGCTTCCGCGTCGGAATGAATGCCGTACACGCTTCATACAGCGCGATTCGCATAGCTCTAATCGCGCAATTCGACATGCAATTCAACATACAATCAGCCGCGGGATTCAACGCGCGCTTTGTTGCACAATTCGATGCGCGCTTCAAAACGCGCTTCCGCGTCGGAATGAATGCCGTACGCGCTTCATACAGCGCGATTCGCACAGCTCTAAACACGCAATTCGACGCGCAATTCAACGTACAATTAGCCGCGGAATTCAACGCGCACTTTAGCGCATAATTCGATGCGCACTTCATATGAATGCCGTACGCGCTTCATACAGCACGATTCACACAGCTCTAAATGCGCAATTCGATGCACAGTTCAATGTACAATTAGCCGCGGAATTCAACGCGCGCTTTAGCGCATAATTTGATGCGCGTTTCAAAACGCGATTCCGCGTCGGAATGAATGCCGTACACGCTTCATACAGCGCGATTCGCATAGCTCTAAACGCGCAATTCGACATGCAATTCAACGTACAATCAGCCGCGGGATTCAACGCGCGCTTTGTTGCACAATTCGATGCGCGCTTCAAAACGCGCTTCCGCGTCGGAATGAATGCCGTACGCGCTTCATACAGCGCGATTCGCACAGCTCTAAACACGCAATTCGACGCGCAATTCAACGTACAATTAGCCGCGGAATTCAACGCGCACTTTAGCGCATAATTCGATGCGCACTTCATATGAATGCCGTACGCGCTTCATACAGCACGATTCACACAGCTCTAAATGCGCATTTCGATGCACAATTCAATGTACAATTAGCCGCGGAATTCAACGCGCGCTTTAGCGCATAATTTGATG